GACAGTGCACCGCAGCAGCTTTACCATCGAAAGGGAATTCGTTGAACTATGCGGGTAGTATTCAGAAGAGTATGGCAAATTTTAGACAATTTACTTAAACAAAAGTATCAACATGTGACTATTACATCTTCAAATTATTACCCGACAGTCGGCTGCTCGTGGGCCATTACATCCTGCAGCACATTCGGAGTGACAGCACTGTTCCTCAGGTGGTTGACCAATGGCAGATTTTTGTGGCGCACGAAAACACCAGTTCGAGCCGTCACACAGTTTTGTTTGGCATTTGTACACTGCAAAGAATTTTCAGTCAGAAAGAAATCATTTGTCCATGATTGCCTTAATACACGGAATACTGATCAGTTCGTACCATAATCACATTTTAAGAAACAGAGTGAAGCGGGATTAGAGAGACTGTATAGAATGGCCTTAGTGAAAATCGTGGATACGATTTTTCTTCTCATTTACTTTTCGATTTTGAGTAGGAAAGGTTATGGTCAACAGAAGTTAATTTTCAAATTTTTGTGGCAAGGAACAGTTTCTACGTAGGATAGCAACAATGCGTTTGGTATTCACACCTTACTGTGACCTATAGTAGCAACAGTATCGGCAAAGTACAAAATGATAAACAATAATTTGTAATGATACTAATAACATACGTATTTCTTAGCCGTGCGAATGGCTGTTTCTGCGCTAGATGGAGATCATTAGATGCAGGCAGAATGCTGCTCAGTCATAAGTGAGATTAGTATTTAGCAGTGTATGGGTTTCCAGGACATTTTGAAGTATGGGGTCTTAAGTGATTGCAATTTGTGTGATAGATGTTCACACCAGCTATATATAATTGTGCTCCATTCTGGATAAAGCGGTGGCCTTGCCCATAAGCAATCTTCTAAGAACCACCTGGATGCGTTTCAAATATATATATATATATATATATATATATAAACCACACAGAGGATTCTCCAAGTTCCACTTTCAATATATATATATATATATTGTTTGTAATGTGTGCACACATCGCTTAGGCCAATACTAGTTGATTTAGATAGCATTTTCGTGTTTGTGATATTTCCATAAAAGATACTTTCTGACCTCGTGAACTTATCTCGGATTTGTTTACAAAACCTTATTTCATATGCTCATTAAGATTTATGTCACCGGTTCCTTATGCATTACTCGATTGATTTTATTTGTTATCTTTCTCTTAAGTGATTAGCTGTTGCTTGATATCCCCGGTGTAGCTGCGCTTGACGCGCATGTTGACAAGGTGTCTACCTGTCTATTACCCGCTACCTCGTCCATACTGGCTCCAGGAGACAGTTGGTCCTTGCTTGAGGGGACAGGGTGCAGGGTCCCTGTGGCCGTGTTAGGTTCGAAGAGTGGTTCCGTGCACTCAGTGTGGAGCGGACTACGGTCCAGCCACCGCCTTGTGTGCGCTTAATTTCCAAATACAGCGTGCTTGTGTTTGTCTGTGAAGGAGTGGGGGCCGGCTCCGTTGATGAAACGTGGCTCCCATCCGCATGCCTCCCGGGCTTATTCCTTCAGGTTTACACTAGATATTGGGTGTGTGGATGGAGCTGTGGATGGTGCAACACAAGGCACCCGTGATCCCTGTGTAGGCGCGGGCGTCCTGTGGCTGGCCACAGTGGCAAGCAAATCGGAAACCGGATGACGCAAACCATATACATTGTGTACACCAACCAACGAGTGATATTCGGGAAAGAACGATCGGTCTTAATCGCAGCACCACCGTCTTCTATTCGTTACGTTATAGCATAAGTGTGACGACCAAACTGGGTGCCTTTGGTCCGTCTCGTCTTCTGCGCTTGAGTCCACGTGACTCGCCTTGTGCTTGGCTCGAGATTTTACGGGACATGGCTCGCAACCGACACCAGTGACGCGTCTGCTGCCGTCTCCTAATCGGATTGCCTGTTTAAAGTGTGTTTGGTGCTAAGTTATATGGGGGGTTAAGGCTGATTATGACGCGTGGCATTGAAAGCCGCAAGGAAGCTGTCTGGCCGATACCGCCTTATCTTTGCATGATGGCCAGCTGTTTTGACGGTATGTCGTCTACACAAGGTGTAGGCGCCTTGACCCTGAAGCATTAAGGTTTTCCGGTAAGCCCTTTCTCTCCCTTTTTTATTCTTTATTCCATAGGTCGTCATGCTTGCATGACAGCGAAGTAACGGTTCAAATGACTGATGTGCTGCTGTTGTTGATTTTTTTCTGAGCAGATGTGCTTGTCAGTTAGGTATACCCCCGTGCAGAGACTACTCAGTTTCGAAGGATCCAAAGTTTTGCAACGGTTCGCTACAATAGGCCGGCAGCGGTTATTAAACATGTCAAAAAGTCCCTAGCCATTTGGGCGCACCGCAGTTTGCGCTCGTTTTGAAATCCCACTTTTACTCGGAACAGAGCAAGACCTAGAACTAGCAGCATGGCGTGCGGTGTGTCCATAGGGTTAGCTTGCACTGTCTTCCCGAAAACTGACCTTCCGGCTACGTACAAGGATGGAGACACTGACATGACACTTTCTTTTGTTTTGGCATAGCGGTTTTGCCTTCAAACACTATGGAATGTCTCTGATTTTCTTTGCATCACCTATTCGCTTCGTCCTGCTTGCTGAGTTGTGGCGTACAATTATATGACTAATGAAGCTTTAAAAGCATACATTTAAAAATGATGAGGTTTGTTGCAGAAATTTACTGATCTCCGTAGTTACATATGTGTAGATATGCTGATAACTACTTAACAGAAGGAGAGGTACACAGGCTACAGCTTGTCAAGAGGAACAAACAAAATACCTATTTGTCTTCAAAACTTGATTGGTCGCAAACAATAACACTGTATAACCGGTGATGAAAGCTCTATTTGATAAATGAGATGACCATATCCTCCTAGGCAAATACTATACACCAGTTTACAATGCAAAATAATCTACTGATCGTGAGGAGGAAGTACAAATAGAATTTTACCTCTCACATTAAATCATACCGTATTTTGCTAGATCATCATGCGGGAGACAATATCTGCTCCGTTTTACATCTCTTGTACAACTGTAGAGTAGACCGCCTCCTTCTATTCTAGAGTTGATTACAAAGATAACAATTGCCAATGATGTCAATTAATAGTTTAGCTTGGTAACTTATAACACTGTCTGATACACGTCCTGGCGGTGAATTAATTCAACTCCGCACATGACAACATAACCTTTACTCTCGAGCTAAAATGCGACGGCGCTTTGGCCTTTTCAGACGTCCAGATCACTAGGGTAGCAGGCGAGACAATGCGATGGAGAGTGTACAGAAACGGAAATTGGAATGAGCTATAGACCCATTTTCATAGTTTTGTTCCAAGCACACACACACATATACACTACGCACCCAAGCTAGAGGTGGGAAACACCTCAGCTAGTGTGCCGCAATACCTAAAATAAATGGGGGAATAAAATGCAACAGGTGCAAGCCAGCTGAGCCACCGATAACGAATGGGCATCGTTCCGGCTACAACCAAGCAGCTTAAAAAAGTAATTTGCTGTGCGAAATTATAAAATGTTAAATAATGAGATGGTGGTTGGAGGGGGACAAAGAAACTCACAACACGAACGTCACTGAGGTCGGCTCCTAGCCATATCAACAAGTATATCCAGCCAAGCGTGTTCATCGGCTTCCGGACCCCAATCAGGGAGGCGAGACGCTCCAACCGAGGTCAGCTTCGAAGTGAGGATCTTCACTCCTCTCGACCAAGTCTTGGCTTGGCCACCTCTCCTCTTCTTCCTTCCACACTCCCGGCGTGCAACCAACGTAAGTCGTGGGAGTAGCTGAGCTGGCATGTATAATACGTAGACGAGCCATCGGACCCTGGTGCATGAAATAACAGTGCTGAGCGGTTCATTTCCTTTTTCTGTACAGGATACAAGATGTTAAACACGACCGTTGCTCACGCGGTGTCCGTACCAGATGTGAGCTAAATTGCGAAGGCACCGGTGGTCGAACGTAACTAGCCTCATTAGGTCCGCTGCTTTAAGGGGCGAGGTTTCACAACGGTACAGTAGGGTTGAAGATACGGCTGCATTGTGCACTCTACCCTTCAGGGCGAGAGTGATGTCGCGCCGGTGCAATAAGTTCCGAAGGTTAGCAAAAGCGCCTCGAGCTTTTGCTATACGCTTCATGATCTCATCTTCAATCCCACGGGTGCTGATACAACTTCTCAGGTAGTTGAATTTTAGAGCGATTTCTAGCTGATTCCCACCGACGGTCTGCGAAGGAGGCGGTCCAGTCCAATCTTGGAGGAACGCTTTGCACTTCGATGGAGTAGAGCAAATCCAGCAGCGGCTGACAGGCAATGCTACTCTGTCCAATGCCGCTTGGCACGTCTGAGAGCAGTCACAGATTAGGGTAATATCGCTAGCATACACTAAGTCAAGAAATCGTTCTCCTGGGAGCAAATCCACACCTTCTAAGTAGTGTCCTGTGTTGTTCCAATCAACCACAAGCGTAATCTGGTCCGCTGCCTCACGGAGACAGCGAGACGAATATGCACATCAGATACGATTTCTGATGAGCTAAATTTCATCCGAAGAATGTTCGAACATAATGGATACCCAGAAAAATTTATCCAGAAACACATGGAATCGCAATTAACGAAGCTGAAGTCTGTTTCCACAGAAAAGCGCCTAGCATACTTAACGTTGCCGTTTATGAGTGAGGTGATAACGCAACGAAACACTCGATGGCTTACTCTAGCCACGGCAGAAATGCAATTTGCGGTCGCCTTATGCGTAAGCTGCACCAGAACACCAAATTTGGTGCCAACAGCTCAAAGACAGGATAACTCGGACACAAAGTCCCTTTTGAGTGTGCAATTTCTCTTGCGCTTTTCCAGCAAATTATATTGTAACATCGATCAGGCCACTGTCCGAAAGAGCACGAGAGAACTGTCCGTTTTGGCTGCGCATTCGTGTGAGGAAGAATGTGACGAGTGCAGTGTTGTCCCATTTATTGGGTTCTAACCACAAAAAAATTAAAAGTTTCTTTCCAACTGATCTACTTTGTACCAGAAAATGAGCTGTCGGATACCGCTTGCTGTCGACAGTGGATGCAATCACAATTTGGTTCTACCACCCGGACTTGTGTGCATAGAAGAATTTTTTTAAAAACCCTATGTCTACCGTGGCGTCAGACTGACACAGGGAATCAGACTTATGGCGGCACTCCACCCGGCTCCACACAAGTCGGGTTAATCACCTAGCCTTATTGATGAGGAATTTTGTTTTATTGGGGCCTATTACCTACGTTTTGATTTTTGAACTACATAGTTGTGTTTGTACTAGCCTGATGATGATCCACAGAAAACAAGTCTGTTCGCCACATTCCACTTCCAGTTTTTCTCGGGGTGTCTTTTCCCAACTTGTGTTACTTCATTCTTCTTATAATCAATTAGTATCAATGCTGTCTGCCTTACTATGATAGTACGAAGGACGCTTGTGTGCTACGACATTTTTAACACCAAAAGAAGGGTTACAAGTTGCAAAATGCGTCTTTGTCAATTAGAGTGTTAACTACCAGCAGACAATTTTTATATAACAAGAGGACGACAACCAGCTTTACCCACAAGTGGCGGGTTCTTGCACACCAGGTCGATTCGTTCCTAAATATATTTGATGTGCACCGGACTGCCGGGATCTGGGTCAGTCAGTAAGTGGGATGTAACCAGGTACGACTAGTTACCACTCTGGTATGCGCATACTGCAACACCTTGTCCATCAGGAAATGAGTAACCAGTTTTAGAAGGCCGAGAATTCCGTCAGCCCTGGGTATCAAATTATATGGTTAGTATTTCACTTCAGCTGGTGCCCTAAGATCAACTTTCGGACGGAATGTCACTCGTTCTTGTCATGTGGATCTCCATCTTCAATGAGTATCTAAAGGAAACACAAGTGTTTAACTGATCGGCCTCACTGATTCAATTTGCTGATTTCTTGAATCTCAAGTAAAGTAACACTTCGCAAATGGATCGAAGAAGATGAATTACTACGACAGAGTAATAAGAGAAACAGCATGGCATAAGTTGAAAACCAGCACATTTACACTCACACAACCATCCCTAGTCCGGTAAAGCACTGTACTGCCGTTGCGTCCGTCGGGGAACCGTCAGCAGTGCACATTCCATTAAACCGTTGTGAGTGGTTGAACCCGCAACTCTCCTGTTACCAGTTCGCGGTTCGGTGCTTTCGTCCGTTAGTTAGGGTCTTCACTGTCCGCTGCATGGCAGTTATATGTAGTTCGTTGGATATCACATCTACTAACCTAGTCCCCTCGGTAGTTAACGTGCTCTGAACCACACGCTGGTAGCAGTAGAGATAACTTATGTAGATAGCTTGGTGACTTGCAGTAAGGGCGACATAACTATGGAGAATGACACATGAGTGCAGAGTAACCTACTTAATTAATTAATTAATTAATTAATGAAGAATTAGTACTCCACCGAATAGGATCGCTGATATCAAAAATTGTGCCAAAAAGTAACAGACCGAAATGTCGCATGAAGACCAAAAATTGTGTTGTTTTAAAGCATGCGCCTGTGGGCGAAGACGAAGTGTTTGTATACATGGATTTCTGGTCGATAGTATTCAAGAAAATTTGGACACTGATTTTTTAATCCAAGTTGTCATTTCATTTTGTTTATGAACGTTAAGACATAAGGTGCATATACTTGGACCGCATCTCGCATCGCTAAGGAATATACCATTTACTTATTAATCATATATTTATTTAAAACGTTAGGGACAATCATTTGTTATTATACTGAAGCCACAATAAACCAACCGGATTAACTGGAATTCCGGTGAAGCGAATGTTAACGAAAACACAGATCTTCACAAAAGTCCCGGTATATAAAGGGTGTGCCGTCGGCTGACTGAGTCTACCGGTCAAATACAGAAATGTATGGGGAACTAAAGGTTTGAAACACTGCACATCATTGCCTATTCACCTGAAATTCTGCGACCTATTGTCATGTTTTCGATAAACTTACCCTTCTGACACTGATCCGCTTTCGGTCCCCAGCAATAGCGCTTTCCCTGGATTAACGGGCATGTGGAATGACAGGGAAGAAACGGAATGTCGCGCTGCTCGGGCTCTGGTACCTGTTCGGAAGTTGTGTGCTGGATTGAATCCGTCCTGTGTGTGGAATATGTTTCCGTGGTAAGCAGGCGTAGCATTTGAAGTTCGGTTTCGGCAAAAGGGGCTGAATCATGGAATTTTAATTGGGTAGTTTGGGAACCTGTCGATTCAGACGATGCTCCGTTCGGCATGGCTGTGGCAGAATGAGGCAAATGTTATAAGCAAAACGCAGACGGGTTTAAACAAATCAACAATTCGATAATTTTAGCACAGAATACGATGATCCAATAAGCTTCACTTATCCAACGAACAGCAATGTGCTTTTGCTAACACAGACAATATCTTCAGTCGTCAGATTACAAAGCGAATTATGGGGGCACAAGTCATCTGGTGACATTGATTAGCTAATTACAACTTATCCTTCAATGGATCGGCGGCAGTGTTTCAGGATGTGGTGGATATTCGCCTGGCAAGAATTCTGCCTATAAAAAGCTACAAATATCCGTTTAACAACACTGCAACTTGGCGAATGTGACTCTCCACCGAATAAAGTGACGGCCCAGAACTTCACGCTGGCAAGTCAACTAGCGTCACCATTATAGATAGATTCGTTACACTGGAACTTTTATATCTGCATAGTGGGTTGTCTCTTCATTTTAAGATTTCACACATATACTGTCATCTCTGTTTTCTACGATATCATCGTTGATCTTTGCGTTACTTGTGCACGAACACGCTATATTTTCATATCTCTCTCGAGCGTGCTCTTCCACTATCTTCCAATGGATCATTCAGGATTCTCAATCTATTATTAGCCGAGGTATGACTGCAATATATAGCAGACCGATTATGTCCTAACAAACGGGTCCCGATCTCACGACAGCCAAAGTATTGTTTCGCATTTCCACCATTGTACAGTTCCAATCATGGACATATGAAAACTTTTCTACTGTCACCGTTACAGTTGCACATACCTGATCATGTCTCCATGGGCGTGCTTCGCATAGTCCAGAATAAAATAGTTATTTATTTATTTACCAGTTCCTGCTCATTTCTGGACTACATTCCTTACCTGGTATCAAGAGTGTTAGAGACAGACCACTTGAACTTGCATGCCCATTCTTCCGGCTATTAGATGCCGAGTACGCATGTGACATTAAGTCCGAAAAAATTGATGACTGGGGAAATCGATATTTTACTATATATGCTAAAAGTTTCGTAACGCAAAACCCATTTCAGTAACATTTAAAAACTTACCATAATAACTAGACCTTTCTGATATCAAAATGTGTTCTTCGGTAGCCGTTGTCACACCTGTGTTCGTTTCAGTGGAGTGCCTTATCTCCGCATTGTCCGTACCTTCGTTTGATGGAAACCTAGAGGGGGACGTCCAGCTCCAGGGGATAATCGAAGCACTGGGCGAAGAATCAGCTGCATACAAAATCTCAGTTGTGCTCAATTCAGCCACTTTGCTTTCATGAGGTCGAACTTCCTCTTTGAGATCAGCGTCAAGGTCGGCGGAAGAGAGCGGAGGAAGCTTTAGTTGCATAATGGAGTTCGTCAGATCGGGATCCATGTTTAGCGAAGTGTAGGCATTTCGCTCATGTTTCCCTCTTGGTATATCATGTGGAAAGTTTCGGCTGGTCACTGTATCACGCTTTTCTCTTGACATATTGTCTAATTGGACAAAATCTGAAAGAAAATTAGGACTTAAAAATTATCTGGGTATGTATTTGCATATTGAGACAGAAGAATCACAACATCGAACTCATTCATCCGCCTATATGAAGTAGTCCCTGTGCATTTTGAGAACCCACAACAACGTCTCAATTCATGACAATCTCGAGGATGTACCTTATGTAGTTGGAAAACCTAGACTACTAGTACGGTTATTTTTGTAGACTAGTTTCTTCCTGTCTTACAGCCACGGCACAAATATCGTCAAGCTGCAAAAGCATCTCGTTTGCGTATCAGCAACTCCAATAGTTCAATAGTTCTATAGTGTATGATGGGATCAAAAGCATTGGCTTTACAAGACCCATAGGATGGTAAATGCAAAATAAATAAAAATCATTAGATTCCGACATGGAACTGAAATGCCGATAGTCTAAACCTAGTACATCATACCACAATATGTTGTTTGTCACTCAGATGAATGTCTAACAATTGTTTGAAGGCTGTAATGTTCGGAGCGTTTACCACATGCGTTGGCAAGTCATTCCATTGTGAACTGATTCTAAGAGTGTAAAAATATTTTCTACAGTCTAATCGGGAGTGTTGGATTATCAGCTTGAGGTTATGACCTCTCGATCGCTTATATGAGGCTAGGTTGAGCAGCGATTTGCACGGGTGATCACTTTCCGTTAATATCCGGTATGCGAGAATGAGATCTCTGCGTAGTCGTCGGTATTCGGAGGAAAACATTCCGATTAACCTGAGACGCACTTCATAACTGAGACCAGATAATCCGCGTGTTGCCTTGGTAGCTCTTCGTTGGGGCTGCTCTAAGAGATGAATATCCCGTTTTAACCATGGGCACCAAGTCTGGACGGCATATTCGACGTGGGGACGGATATAGGAGTTGACAAGCATGGGTACCAACCGTCGTTCAAAAACACCAAAAGCTCGCCTCAAAAGTCTCAGATTCATGTTGGCCACGTTTGCTGCTTTCGAACATTGGAGCGAATTCCCCAGACTTTCTTGCACAATGATACCTAAGTCTTTTTCTGTGGTCACGCGCCGTAAAGCGTACTGCCCCAAGAGGTACGTGTTGGTAAGATTGCTGCGCAATGACAGTAGGTGACACTTGGCAGGATTCAGGGGGAGTGCTTTATATCTGCCCATTTGTTGATTCGATCCAAATCATTCTGGAGGAGGGCACAGTCTGATGTAGAGCGAATAACTCTCCAGATTTTTGCATCCCATTGTACGATAGACTAAGGGATGATCAGAACACCTAAAAAATACTTGCAATTTCCCAACTGCTTATACAAACCATGTGCATAGCTTTCGTCCGGTGGCAAAAGCAATGGTGAATACGACCGTTTATCATCGAGTCTACTATTCGTAAGTGCTAATTTCGCGAAGCGAAAAAATTGAAACGCCTAACCCCATGACAAACACCGGAAAACCGAATGAGCCATGCCCAATAGTTATGCTTTCCAGGACATTATTGATGCAAGAACGATTTATTAGTAGCAGCTTGGGGTTAACCAAAATAGGTTGTTCGAATTTGATGTAGCTGATCGTTAAACCTCTGGGCGATTGTGCCTAACCTATCGTTAGGCCTCGTAAATTTACATGTGAAGTCGCCAATCACCCTCCATGGTAAAATAGCTTGCGTGCTTTTCTGGTTGGCCACAAATACGCTGAATATCTTTGTACATGTAGTTGTGTAATAACTACGGCAAGGCAATCGTCTATTAGCAGCTTATGTGAAGAATGTGTCAAAGCCAAACTATCCATGATAGAGCAACACCACCGTAAATGTTAGCAAACTAGGCTAAGTACTGGTGAAGGAAGCTTAGGCTAAAAGTAAAATACACTGTTCCAGGAAAACGACATTCCTACTTAGAAGCAATGACAGGCGCTATCTCAACCCAACCTACAGAACATGCCAGCTACGAATTCAGCCAACCTAGACCGCGAGTTTTTTCGCTTTGTGTCGTGAGCTACCAGTTGCATGCGTATATTTCGAAGTGGCGAACTATCCTCCTTTTCAAAACAGTGTATGATAAGCTGTCCTATTCATTGCGTTTTTATATCCATATGCGCCCACTAAAGTAGTAAGACAAGCGGGCGAACTGCAGGCAGCCTAACGTTTTGATTCGTTCTCCGAGTGGAGTAATTTAATGACAAACGTTTCACCACTTCCCTCAGTGGCATCTTCAGTGCATTGCTCCGTAGAAGAAAATCTCACGGAAAGTGTCGTCGGGACGTAGCATTTGAAATTAGCCTCGTCATCTGTGTCCTGTGACCTCTGTTTGTACGATATTTGGCCGTCCAGTTTCACACTTTCTTAGCTGTAGGTACACGGGATCGAGGTCAAAGCAGAGGTTCAGGGAATTCTCCGTGGAGGATCATACCTCGAGGAATTCCCTTCCTTTTCTTGTCCCTCCGTGCGCCAGAATTTCTGTTTTGCCCCAGTTAACGTTGTGTCCTTCCTCATCGAGGTGCGCTAAGATCTGTGACGACACAAGATGGTATCAACACGCACGCTTGTGCTCTTGTATTCTTGTGGATAGCTTTCTCCCCGTTTGACCTACGTAGGTTTTGTCACAGTTCTCGCATTGTATCCTATAGACGAAATTTTGGCGTTCATGTGCCTCCAGTCTTTCTTTAGGTCTAGATAATATTCTTTTCAAAGTCGCAGTTGGTATGTGAGCTATCGTCAGGTTTTGCGGTTTGAGGAGTCTGGCTGTCTTTTCGGATACGTTTTTGATGTACGGCAAAGCGATGTGTTTCGTCGTTGTTGGGGCAGGTGCGGTAGTTGTGCTCTTTCGGTTTAGGTGTCTTCGGATGAAACTGCGTGGGTGGCCGTTGCGAATGAAAGACATAAACAGATGTTCTTCTTCCTTTCGTTTTGCCTCCGCAGTATTGCAATACGATTCTATCCTACGAAACAAGGTCCATATACAGCTTATTTTGTGACACTTAGGGTGATTGCTGTTAAAGTTCAGGCAGCTTCCTCAACTCGGAGAAAACATCCACATTAATAGACATTAAGGGAACCAGATAGTTTCTGTCAGCAAACAACGTGTTGGAGATCCAGGCCGTGAAATCTGGGAGTTATCAAGGTGGCATTACGTAAGGGATTTTTGCTGGTTTTTAAAACATTAATAATTGCACAATTCACCAACAGAAAGCGAACACGACTATACACACCAAAAATCCATAAGGGTGTGACAGAAGAGTATTGGTTATGCAAGCAGTATTTTTGTAGCATTAAGGGCTTCAGCTCGCCCGGAAAATATTGTACCTTACATATGGTCCCCATTAAAATTCATAACATTGTTTTCTGATGATGTTTAATTTGCCTCCACACTGACTGAAAGGTAAATGCAGCTAAATTACTCCTTGAAGTAGTCACCAATCAGTAGTCGTAGAACATTATTATGATATCATATTCCTTCATCCTGCATAGTTAATTAATAACTCTCCAGTTAACCAGTTGTCATCTACGCTGAATATTCGTATTCAATACTTAAATGTGCGGTTGGAACATGCAAATATACTTCTTGTATCTGGACAGTATTTAAAATGCTTCTGGGGACTATGGTTCAGTCATCCACTGGGGTTCAGCGTGTATCTTCATTACTATCCATCGAATTACCATGATGAACACATTGTTCTGCAGTTCTAATCAGTACTCCAGACTGTTCAGAGATTCAATGTTACAAAACCACATCTTATGACAAATGAGTTAAACTTGTTGATCGTTTTTCCGAGCTTGGTTAAGAGATCGCATACGTTTCACCACCATGCGAGGTGGCATCTTCAGTGCGGTAATATGCAGTGTTTAATGCTGAAGATGCCACCTCGCATGGTGGTGAAAAGTATGCGAGCTCTTAACCAAGCACGGAAAAACGATCAACAGATGAGCAAACAAGCCGGGCTACCAGTGTTCCAAATTATTTTGAGTTAAACTTGTTCCTCTGATAGTCGAGCATAAAATCGGTGGGTGTCGCTCATTTGCAACTCCGGAGCAATTCATCGTTCATTACCAGCCAACGATACGGTATAGTATAGCAATGACCAAGTAAAAGCCACAATGATATATAGTTCGTGCGGGAAGCAAATTTGCTCACGAAAGTTATCATGACATGCGAACATGCTGTCCACATAACACCTCACGATGGCTGAATGTTACAAGGCTTGGATAAACGATATTACTTACAAAAACAAAGTAGGCCAAAAGAAAATTAAATTGATGAATCTTCAACGAATCACGGGCAATGCTGATTTTCAACACAGCAAATATTCTCATTGTAATCAAATGAATCAAGACCAGAAAACAGTTCAGGGTTAAGATATCTTTTCGGTAAAATCTCGTCAGACCCAAACTTTTACATGACACTGATTATGTGGGGTAAGCGTCAAATCGGGCTGGGATTGATTTCTAAGGTGTTTGAAAGGTCAAGATCGATGACTAAAGATGGCTACAGATGGTAGGAAAAGTGCATCAAAGGAAATTAATACAAGTTTCAGGGCCTAAAGTAAATAGCTAAGGTCACAAAGGGTAGTTAAGTAACCATGTCAGTCGGCCAAGGTAGTAGTATCGGCCGTGTGAATCGTTTGTGTACGCATAATTCCGGCTTCAGATGATGGATGTAAATAGCCTCGGCGATAGACAAGATTTGCTTTCGGAAGCCTTGTGATAAGCGTTCAGGTAGTGGGTAGATGACGTTAAACTCATTTACAGATGCAGTATAGCCACATTCGAAGTGATGTCACAAGATTGAGTTGTCTGAAGACCTCATTTCGCATTTCTAAAACCACGCAGGGATGTGCTCGCGAATCCTCTGGGATAGGCGTCTCGTTGTGCGACCCACGTATCGTGCACCACAGGAGCACGAGTACTGATAAACGAGCATTGAACGGGTCAACGATGGCAGACTATCTTTCAAGGGTTTTGCAAGCAATGGTTTGTTGTGGTAAACAATTCTCAAGCGGGCTGCGAAATAAGTTTTCTC